TTTTATGGAGCAGCTGTCGTTTGCGCGCTGACAACAAATGCGTGCAAAGGATAGATGTTCCCAAAAATACTTTTTGAATTAAACGAAAAACTTTGACTGCTAAATTTAACTTCAGACTACTCTCTGCTTCAAATCAACCCGCTAATTAACCGAAAAACAAGGGTTTAATTTTTTGGAGCAGTTGTCGTTCTACGTGCTAAACAACAAACACACGTAAACGATAAATGCTCCAAATGATACCCTTAAAATAAAAAACAAAACGAACTGTTGCACAGTTATGGGTAATTCTGTTTAAATGAACATTTAAAATAACATAAGTAAATGGCACGCGCAGCGAATATGTATTCGTTTTTTATTAATAATAATTCTGTAAGTTTCACCCACTGTTGTAGTCGTCAATTTTATGACCTAAGTAAAAGTTGAAAAGAAATGGCAGTATGTATTAACGTCTACTTCCTTTTTAGGGATTCCAAAAAACCCGCTACGAAACTGCCACAATATTTTGTGGATTTTGCCAGCCATAGCAATGTCTACAACATCAAGTACAGAAACAGGCTGGCTGTGGACACCACTAAATACTTGAACATCCAATCCGATGAATGGCGCACTAAGACGGTAAGAAATGCTTTTATGCAGTAACCTAATTATCAGTTGCATTTATTTACAGGGTAAACTGGTGCGCAAGTTCCAGAAGAGCGCTCTCGACCTCGCGTACATTCACCACCATCAGAAAGCAATGTTCACTGCTATTATTGTGATACTGAAGAAGCTGTTGGACGTTGCACAAGCAATGGAAAAGTACCACATGGAAAGCATTGCAACTCTTTTGGCTTCCTGTCCGCCAGACAGTATGCCATCGTCTGATGAGGGCTACTGGATCGATGAAATATCAAATTACCCATCACACAACTCGCAGAAAATCACACGCATCATCGCTGACAACAAAAAGAAACAAGACGAAACGAAATTGCTGGAGAAAAATTCGCGAACTCACATTGGAACGACCAGTGAACTTGTGCCTACCGCTCAGCTGTTGCAAAGCGAGCTTACGGCAAGAACCAAGGCGTACAAATCCTTGTGGAAACAACTGACTGAGCTGTCAAACACGGTATCAATGTATAACGACAAAATTAAGGAACACTGCCTCTCCCTGATAAATGGCTTTGAACATCTCAAATCAAAGCTAAACATTGAGAAGATGACCATTGGTAAGTGTAGTTCCTTTGACAAGTATTAAGTTTTATTTCACAGTTTCTTGCAGCCCAGGAAGCGTTTTTTCCCATTGTCCAAGAAATGTCCACTGTTAGCACCCTCATCGCTGACCGATACCTGACCCAGTCTGAGAATGGACGTGATGTCACCGCTGCTTTGAACAAACTGGATATTGCCATAAACCTGGCTAAGAATGCGCTGCATGGTATGATCAGCTTATCTGTATTCGTTTCCCTAAAATATTGTGGTTTTATTTCATTTTGTCAGGTGACCATCCGGAAGTCCGTGATGACCCGCGCGTGGATGACGTAGGAGAAAGCGATTCAGAAATGAGCGCCTCGGACGATGACTAACAAGCTATTACTTACTGGTTTCCATTTCGCTGTTGAGCTTAGAAACTATATAAAAATTCTAAATAACGTAATCGTTTTATGCCTCTAAACCGCTTTAGTTATTAAATGCTTTCACCTACTTTATATTATCCCCGTAAATAAATCAAATAATAATACAGTACAGTAAACGGTCAAGGGTTTCCTTATACAGTATAGAAAACTAGGGGTAAGTATTTAAATGCAGTCAACAATTAACGATTTAATCAGTAACTATAGTAATATTTTTGTAAATTATTAATACAAAGTATATTTTTAGTTTTAATTTTTTTGCGGAATTTATTTACTTATTGTGACGTCACAAACTGCAGTCAGGAAGTCCAGTGGATAACTGGAATCCAAAATCGCTTTGCGGGACGCCTTTTACTACTCATCTCTTCCACTTCCTCCCGCGTTAGGGTTTTAATAATAAAACGCTAATCGCCCGTGATAGTACGTTGATACACTATCCTCCTTCATGACCGGCTCAGATCCAGTAAGGGACAGCTGCATACACAAGACGGCAACCGTTAGTCGCACAGGAAATCCATTGACATCCAGGGACGCAGCATACTTTACCATGTATTGACTGTCCGTGTGCGGAAACGCTCCGCAAATTACGAAATACCAACGGACAGTATTCCTTAACTTTGGAGTGACTGGGCATGTTATCCCTAAAATCAGATGGTAAACAATGAAAAACCAAACGCATAACGCAGCACGCATACCACACTACGCTATCAGAATGTATGCATTTTACCACAACATCAAAATTAGCAGAGACAAAAGGAACGATTTTCTTCGCAAGTTTTTTGATTTAGTAGCAAGTTTAAAATTAAAGTACGTTAAAAGTTGACCAAAATTCTGGCTATAGTTCTGCAACCCTATCACTGTTTGTAGATACCGACATATAAGTCATATCAAAATCTTTCTTAACGGAATTCCATGTGCGTAAAGCAATGCAAGATTATCGGCAAAGCGGAAATTTCCAATTATCTGGCCAACACGTACCAGCAGCGCAAGAGGAAATAAAGAGTTTTCTAATTCTAATTTCCATAACGTACAGCACCATGTGAAAAATGGCATAAACGACTTTCGTCAGCCGCAGTCTCCGCGGGACAGTTGACGGACAAGACAACGATTAAAGTAAAATACTTGCCGGCTTTACTCTCTACTTCCGCATAATCCCCACTTCGTTGGGGTTCCGACAAAATGTATAACTATGCGGAATGGGAATTCGGGCTTCAGACCGGAAACATTACAGCCCCACTTGCTTTAAAGTACTGTCGATCAATTTTGATTTTTCGTTGGCATTGAAATCATCCGGCATCAGCATCGGCGGAGTATATTCACATGGGTCAATTCATTAATCTGCAGCCATTCGACAAACATATACGAAATTTCGTAATAACAACGTCTCGCAGCACCAAGTTATGCAAACATGAACGTAAAAATTTTACTCGTTAAAGTTAAAACGAAAAAAACATGTTCGCAACTCGTTATGGACAATCGTTTAACCCAAATAAATAACCGTGAAAAAACATGCCGCTGATCACATTTTAACAAAATTTCACTGAAGGAGGCAACCAACCTGCAGATCGCGACATGTGGTACCAAATGGGCTATCCGTGAAATTAAAACCCGTTGAGCAGACCACATCCCGGTGACAGTCGATTGCCCTCACAGCATCTCTGCGCCCAACATCCCATACGATTCCCTAAAAGGTCAAAACAGTACAGCCTTATTTTTGCATCAGTAAAGTACCATGTACATTACGAACAACAGCAAGTCGTTCACGTGTAATTCCGATCCGTGCAAATTGTTTGCTTTTACGTGCACGCACTCATGCATTCATGCTGCTTGACTACAGACCCGCACATTTGCACTCAACCATGAATCACCACCGGCTGGTTACAGAATGTGCTCCGCGATTGGATGTCGTTCTTATTGTAACATCCGATTAGAAATATACTAGTGCATGTGCTGGCTTCTTGTATGTGTTCGAATCACGCATACACCTATACAAGTAGCACTGGTTAGCCAATGGCAATTGCGAAAGCGCTTTAGCGGTATAGATGTATGCGTTTTCTGCACATACCAGTAGCTAACGCACATGGACTAATGGATACAGCAGTGTTGTACAAGTAGCACTCACTTTGAAAAATCTTTAGCCGAAAAATATATCGTTCAATCTTTCCCAATTAGCCGCAGTCACTGACTAACCTGTGCGACGCACACGCATTTCTCTGACACCTCCATCCGGAATATGCCATATTTTCACCCATGACTGTCTTAGTCCTGCGTAACGTGTAAACCGATGTCCAGTTTTCCAGGTGCACATACGCGAAGCAGGCTGCGGTAGACCGATGGACTGGTGACATAATCCACGGGAAGACCTTTGCTGACACGTCCAGGCAGAATCCGCACTCCCGCTGCCCAGAGGCAACCGGGTTGTACAAGCCGGCATAACAGGTGGGCGTTGCAGCATTCGCACAACGTATTTGGTAATCGTTGCAGCGCATTTCATATTTTATTTTACAAAAGTAATAAAATTTAATTCAGTTCTATATACAGATTTTCAATAAATAATTCTAGTAAATAATTCGGAAGTTTAATTAATTTAAAAAAATTCTTAACATAACAAAATCTTTATTAATCAACATTTTATATTCCAATGGTGCTTCGTTTAATTATCACATAATGCTAATTTAATTAAGTCTCACCTTGAATAGTATCAGCCATAATATCCGACGTTAGTTGATTTCGCTTGATGAAAATAATTTCGATGAAAATAATTTCGACTGCGATTCTTCGTAGTAACTGACTGAAAATTGGCGTTGTGTGTGTAGCAGTTTGAAATGACAAAGTGATAAGCCTGCAGTGAGTTTTAAGCTGGTGCTTGCTGCACATCCGCCTTCTCTTCCCAACATCACAATGAATATAAATATTAATGTAACTGTTTTGACACAATTTTCAAAGAGACCGCCAAAAGTGAAGCCGTCCGGAAGTACTGAACTGTATCTTGCATGGCCAGATGGTATGTTACACTTTTTTACTGTTTTGCGGCATATTAATCAGCCGGTACAGCCGCTGTAAGCGCAGCATAGATGGCGAAGAAATGTGTGGAATTGCGCTATTACAAAGATATTATTATTTAATTAAATGTCGTTTTTGACATTAGTGTAGTAATATATGTATTTTAGGTTGCTGATACCTAGTTGACAAATCTACGATTACAGTGAGGTTTTTTGAAAATAAACTATAAATTACTTTACAAGAATATTAATTTTTGTTTATTACAGTGTGCCACTAATTACGAACGCTATAATTATTAGGTTCTTGTGTATGTCAGCCGGTAATTCATGCCGGCTATCGACAGAACAAAGGTCACGGCAGCCGGTTCCCACGGGGTCACACCGTGGGAAAAGCGCCTATACAGCCGTCTATAGTAGTGAGGTATACTGGCCTGGCGGCGCGCTGATATTATCCTGCATCGTTTTATGCCGCTGATTCTCATCGTGATCGTTTACATCTACATCATGGCAAAGCGTTGGAGAAATAAACGCGTGGATAACCGGGATACGAATCCCGGATCCAGCCAAAATACTACTGCTAGCATGAAACCGGTTAGTGACGGCGAGAGTATTGAGACGGTGGCGAAAACGAAGCGCTACGCTGAGTATGTCGCTCGAAAGTCCGAAGGGTCAGCTCGGAGACAGCGCAAGCTAGGTGAAGCCGTTCGTAGTGTTGACGATGACGTCGATGAGTGTGTTTATCTGTTGGACTCCGTCGGATGTGTATTTTGCCATGATTTATCTGGGCATTCGGATGCCGGTGTGGGTGGCCAATGTCTGCATTACCATGTACTCCCTGCAGATGATCTTTGATCCGGTGATGTGGCTGGTCAGCTTAAGATAATTGATTCAGTCGAGTAAAGCGTTGACCTTTCAGAATGACATGTGCGCGACGCTACAGTGTGTCTCATTCCACACTGTTAACAGCGGGTACGGTTTAAGAGTTCAAAGTGTGCTCCTACATAGTAACAACCAAAATCTACGTCTTCCCCAAAACAACGTAGGCGTAGCGAGATCGTAGAGGAAATGCGCTGCTATTTGGGAAACCTGTATGTGCGGACAAAGAATTTGAAGCCATTTAGAAGTATTGCTATTTTTTCAATGTCTGGGTTTTTTTCCCATCATTTTTATTACTCGTAGTATATATTGTGATATCGTGTCTCCGTCACTCTTCTGGTGTCGCGGTATGCGCACCCATATTGTGAAAACGTCCGAATGCGAATATAGATATATGGTAATACTTTTACGCTGGCACCAAGCTCGCACGTGTAAATCGCCTACTTACAATGCCGTGAAACTACGGTGTTGATTTAAATTGTTCTGCGTTATATTTTGCATTCGTTACAATTCGTCAGAAACCATCGAAGCCAACATTTCACAGTACGAAGCAGTGAAGCACAGACATTCGCGACGCCGCTTAAAAAGTTAAAACGTTTCAGTTTGTACTTTGGGACAGCAGCTCCAACCGCCCCAGGGCGAGCAGCGCAAATCATGTCAACAATCAGCTCTTGGAACTTTGAAGTTTGAGGTGATTGCGAGAGTCACGATACTTCTGGCGCACATTCATCATTGCGTTATCAGCTGAGGAGGGTTACACGGTGGCAGTATTAGCAGCAACGTGCAGTTCCACACGCGGCGCCTGATCTGAAAATTGTAACTTTGTTAATTTTCGCTCTATTTTGTACATAAGCTTGAAAACTCAGAATACTATTGCTATTAGGCAGAATAAGTGTTTTTTCGCTTTTTTTTATGGTTACGCACTGTGCGCGTACGTGGTTAGCATAGCCGCCTATGCGAAACCCTAAATGAGTCCTCCATAGACAGCTATGCTAACTGCACAGGCGCACAGTGCGTTACCATAGAAGAAAAGCGAAAAAACACTTGTTCTGCCTAATAGTACTTAGTATTCTGAGTTTTTCAAGCTTATGTACAAAAATTTAGAGAGAAAATTAACAAAGTTACGAATTTTCGAAGATCGGGAAGTCAGCCGCGTGTGGCATGGGCCACCGCACGCGTACGTTGCTGCTAAAGTACTGCCAGAAAACTGGCCCGTGTAGAAGCTACCTCCTCAGAAATTTTATTGCGCAATGATGATGTAGTGCACCGTAAGTATGGGTCGGCCAACTTCGCCTTTGCCGTCCATTTGCCTTTGCCGTTTCAGTTTGCCGTTTTCAACTTTACCTTTACCTTTGCCTTTGCCGGCGGAAAAGCCTTAGCACAACAATTTGCCGTTTCAGAACGCCGTCTCAAAACGCCTTTGCCGTTTGGAAAACCAATTACCGTTAACACATTGCCATTTTCGAACTTCTCTTGTGCTGTTCTTTTTCTTTATACGTTTTATACGTAATAAATATAATTTTTCGTGTGTGTGTGGAAAGAGATATGTGGAAAGGATTTTCCAGTTGAGTTTTCATTCATAACGTGCTTACGAAAACAAATTTTGAAATTGCAAGGTCAAACAGAACATAAAGTTCTTAAAAATTATAGAGCACTTTCAATATTGTCTGACGTTCGTAGAAGTTATAACATGATACGCAATGTACGCAATGTAAGTTGATCTTATAGTCGTGTGCCTAGTAAATGTACCACAAAATAAAACTGAAGTTGCAGAAGCGGATGTACAGCATCCTGTTTGCTCAAAAGAAGCTGACCGCGGTGTTGCGGAAATACAGTAATTTTTAAAAGTGAGGATAGTGAGTGCTGAGTAGAAAGTAAACGTTGATTATTGGGCTTTACGTTCAACGTTGATTATTGGGCTCTTCAATTGCCCCCGGATGATTAATTTCCCTCATCCGTGTAAAATGGGTGGCTACGGGACCTAGTCTGAAACATTTCTTCGGAAATACTTCGGAGGCTGTCGTGGCAGCTGTCCCGTAGTTATCGGGTCTCCACCGTCCTGCGCTCTGTAAGTACCTTTCTCCCAGCGTTCCGTTTTCTCCGTTCTGCCGTCAGTTTGTAACCCACAGTTGCCATGACGTGGACATGCCCCGCCTGTCATCTTATCTGCAAACGCCAGGGCAGCCATTTCGGCAGCGGAAACTGCCTCGAGCGCCAGGCGCAGGGATATGGCCGCGCCGATGGGCCTTCCCAATCGCATGCCCACAACCTACCTCCGCCTGCAGCTGGGACGTCTCCTCTACCTTTCATACCGACCAGAAAGAAAATCATGCGGCGCATACCGAAAGCAGCCCGGGCTCCCGTCGCAATGGCATTCACAAAGCTAATGCGGAGCGCCACATCTGCCAATGATTCTCAGTCATGGATGAAGCTGCTATCCGCTCCCTCAGCGATCCTTTCTTCCAGGAGACAACAAACATTCACGGAAAACATCCCTCACCTCCTATATCCGTGATCGGATCGCTAAATTCGAAAGCGGAGAGCTCGATAGTGAAGAGCCCGTCGCCCCAAAGAACCATCGGCGCGCTACCCCCGAGGACGAGATTCCCCGTCGCGTTGGCATGCAGATCGACGACTTCAACGTCAGCGGGGCCGTACGCACTCTCCTTTCGTCGGATTCTGTAGCCAGCCCAACCCCAGAGGTGATAGAGAGCATGCAGCGCAAACACCCAGCAGCTCCATTACCCACTGCCCCCAACGATCCTCCGGCCATGACATTTGTCCCGCTCACTCCCGCGGAAGTCCTGTCAGTTTTGGAGAGCATGCCACGTGGTAGTGCAGGTGGCCTTGATTTTCTGCGCCCGCAGCACCTGTTGGACCTGATCGGTGCAAGAATGAATGACGCTGCATCTGACCTGTGCGATTCACTTACGGACTTGTTGAATCTCCTACTAACGGGCAAAATTCCCTCTGATATGGTCCCCCTGCTTTGTGGCGCCCGGCTCGTCGCACTACGCAAAAAAGACGGAGGACTGCGCCCGATTGCTGTTGGGAATGTGTATCGTCGCATTGCCGCTAAGGCGGTGGATATCCGCATCCGGCCAATTACATCGGAGTTCCTCCAACCACATCAGCTTGGGTCAGGTGTAAAGAGGGGCGTCGAAGGCATCATCCACGCGGCAAGAGACTTTCTCCTCCAGTACAGTAATGACGTTAAAGTCCTACTCAAAATCGACTTCACCAACGCTTTCAACTGCATCTCACGCGAGGAAGTATTAAAGATATCAGCTGAAGTTATTCCAGAGTATTATCCCTTCATTAAAATGTGTTACGGGTCATGTTCTTTGCTGTTTTTGGGAGAAACAGTAATTTCCTCCCAGTCTGGCGTGCAGCAAGGAGATCCACTCGGCCCAGCCTTATTTTGTTTGGTACTGCAGTGTGTCGTTGACATATTGGATGTCGATTTGAACGCCTGGTATATGGATGATGGGACACTGGGAGATAAACCAGCGAAAGTGATCAGCATTTTCCAACAACTAATATTAGAAGCTGCGAAGATTGGCCTGACTGTTAACATCGCGAAATGCGAAGTGTTTTTGTGCGGTGGTACTGAAGCAGAAAGAGTAACGGCCGCCAGCGACTTCACCAGTCTGTTCCCTGGCATTGCCATTGTATCAGCAGATAAACTTACACTCCTCGGATCCCCGCTTCTACCAGCCGCCGTAATCCCGACGATCGACGAAAAGATCAGGCAGCTGGAGATCATGTGCGGCCGCCTGCAGCTGATTCCTAAGCACCATGCGCTGTTCTTGCTGAAGAATTGCTTAGGAGTCCCGAAAATAGTGCACATTTTACGCACCTCTCCAGCCTGGATGTTTCCCAGCGAGTTGTACAGACTGGATCAGGTGTTCCGCGACGCAATAGAATCCATCACTAACGTACGGATGGACTATCCGACGTGGCTCCAGGCGTCCCTTCCCGTTCGTCTAGGCGGTTTGGGGATCAGACGCACCGAGAAGCTAGCTCCCTCTGCTTATCTGGCATCGGCTTCCTCGTTGCACCCACTGATCTCCAAGCTGTGTCCGACGCTTAAGCCAACGGATGTAACCGTAGCCACTCGTGCCTGGAAGGTTATCGCCAACACAGACGATCTCCCGGCGGAAGCACTGCGACACGTTCAGAAGGCCTGGGACACACCTACGACGCTACACGCATTTTCTAGGCTGACCTCATTGCGCACCACAAAGGATGAGGTCGCTCACCTGAAGGCTGTTTCAGTCCCGGAATCCGGCGTATGGATCCATGCACTGCCCGCAGCAAGCCTCGGTAATCTGCTGGAAAATAATGCTCTCCGCATCAGCGTTACGTTGCGTTTGGGTGCACCAATTGTATCCCCGCACGTGTGCGTGTGCGGTGGATCGGTCGACGAATTAGGCCGGCACGGACTCCGTTGCAAACGATCTGCCGGACGGCTGCCACGACACGACGGTATCAGTGGGGAGCTCACCCTAGGACTAAAGACAGCCGGTTTCCCAGCCAGAATGGAGCCGAAAGGTCTTTCAGCGAAGGATCGCAAAAGGCCGGATGTGATCACACTCGTACCATGGGAACGCGGAAAGCCGCTGGCCGTCGACGTGACTTGCGTGGACACACTTGCAGCCTCTTATATCGATCGCACCTAAGTGAATGCCGGGGCCGCAGCTGAACATGCAGAAAGAGCGAAACTGACGAAACACAGCTGGCTGCAGCCACGGTATAACTTCATGGCGGCAGCATTCGAAATTTACGGACCGTGGGGAGATGGAACAAAAAGGCTTGTGGATAAGGTTGGAAGCGGTATGGCCACCGCCACAGGCCAGAAACGTGCGAAAGAGTTTTTTAGACAGCGACTCTCTATCCAGATACAACGGGGGAATGCGATTTGTGTAATGGGTACAATTCCCGATCAGGATAGCATTGAGGAAGTGTTTCTGTTATGAGATTAATGTTTTCTAGTACTAAGTTTGTACTTGTGACATGATACTTATTAAAGGTTTAAGTTAGATTTTTAAAAAAAGTTCATACCATGGTGACATAGCGGTGTATTCGGCAGTGATGTTGACTTCATTAAATAATGTGGCGCATGGGTCTTCCATAAGTAATCTACAGCTACTGTTATCCTATGAATAAAAAAATATACTCGAATTCGACCCTTTGCAAATGATGGGAACAGATATGATGGATAATGACCAGAATTCCATTATTTCTGACGATGGAGCCGGTATTGTTTGTACTGGTTCTATTAATCGTAAAACTTGTATTTTGATTGACGCCGGTACTGCCAGCGAAAATGGTCGTGACGATATCATCGGTGTCAGAAGCTTCTCTGATACAGATTCCGATTCGTAAGTTTTGCTATGCGGTGACGACAATAATAATATCGTTAACGGCGAATATCTTATCGATAGGGATGATGAAGATCTAGTCTGCGTCGAACCTTCCAAGGATGAACAGCCATTTATTGCTCCAGTGGGAATTTTTGCCCTGAACGGAAGTTCGCCAGTTGAAAAAGCCGGCGAATCTCACAGCACTCTGGGACCAAGATACAAATGGTAGGCATCCGGTGACTATTTCGTTTAACGCAAGATTTAAAAAATTTTAAATTCTTAACATAGTTAAAATTTTTTCTAACTATGTTTTTTAATGCAGTTTACATGCCTATGCTAAAATTTGTATACTGTTGACTAACTGAACTAGCGAAATTCGGTCGTACACAGTGAATTGTGCCGTGACCTTACAAGTATTATGTGAGTTAATTGCACTATATTGCAGTCACGGATATACGCTGTTCCGCAGTGGGGCATCGGTTTCAGATATTCTCACCGCGCTCACTGACCCGGATACCCTGGAAGTGTTCGGAGCCAGCAAAGTGCCGCTTATGTTTCAAGGTTCTGGACAGTTTGCGAGAAATGAGAAATTTGAGAAATGAAAAAGATTACAAAAGAGGTACGAATGAGGAGACATCTAAGCATATCCGGCATTACCACATGCAGATATCATGCATAGCCAAGCGTCACAAGGGATTTAACCCGACTACCGGATTCAGTGTTTCGTATGACTCCAAATGGTTTCCGATGGCAGCGGCAGACGAAAAGGAATACGCTCAGATGTTTCGTAGCGGTCTTTTGTTCTAAGTGCTAATGCCACTTGTTTATACGTAAACGTAAACCGTAAACCTGTTTGTAACGTAAACCTAATAATTTGACCTAATAATCAACCTAATGAGTTGACTCGCCAGGTAGTTAATTAGCTCAGTAATTTGCGCCAGTTGACTTTAATTATTTTTTTGCTATTCTTAACTCTGAGATTCCGACCTAACAATATCAAATTTTAAAACATGTTGGCAACCTTGTTGGTAATAACTTTAACAAAACCATGTACAGTACTAGTGCCAAGATAAGCCGGTATACATGTTACTGTAATACAACATGATGTTAATTATCTTATCCTGATATTATCAATAGATTCATATATCCTTACGTCCTTATTTTTTGGAAATTATCTCCTAAATCAAGATTGATTTTTTCAATAAGTTCATAATTTTATATAATAAGGCATCGCACAAACGTTCCTACCTTTATCTTTGAGAAAATCTTCAGTTTTGGAGAAGGTCTAAAAAAATTTTAAAAGTTGTAGTACTTAAGGATTGTTAGTACTTACAGGTTGCTAGTTTTGGAAATTATCTCCTAAATCAACACTGATTTTTTCAATAAGTTGTTAATTTTATAAAATAGAGCATCGCACAAACGTTCCTACCTTCATCTTTAAAAACATCTTAAGTTTTGGAGAAGGTCCAAAAAAATTTTTTGAAAGTTGTAGTACTTAAGGGTTGTCAGTACTTAAGGTTGTAGTACTTAAATGTGGCAGTGTAGTAGTAAGTACTTAAAATCAATGTTGTTAGTACTTTAATCTTTAATGTAATACTACGTAATGTAGTACTTACGATTTTTAAATGCTGTTAGCTTTTAGAGAACTCGCAACTTAGCAACCTAAACAATGTTATTTAAAATTGCCACTTACATCAAGCATAATTTTATTTTTTCTAATGCTTGAAACCTTTAATACGTTCTTAAATGAGTCGGCTTTAAAGCTTTTTCATTTCAAGAATTTCTAAATATTTCGACTCGGCCCCGCGCAGCGGGGCCGTTACCTCTAAATATTTTTAGCCTCCAGAGTTTCTAAATTTTAAAAATATCTAGAAATCTGAGTATCTCAATATCTCACGGTCTAAAGTGTCTAATTTATACGAGTATTTAATTCCTTAATATCTAAGAGCCGGTCCGCGGCCCGTTTACTGTATTCACCAACGTAGCGGCTCTGTGGTACTGGTGGTAGCTTGGGCATTCACAAACCTACGTTACTTTGTAATACTGGTGGCAGCTTTGGCAGTTTGGCAGGACTTTCTGTCACGTCGGTCACGATCACAGAAATTATTGCGCAATCGTGGCTACCCAGAATAACTTAAAGTGACCACTCCTTAAACTACCTTTCACTCTGTACATTGCCTTTCGCCCTGTACATTGAAAAGACCAAGCGGCAACTTCTAGTACAGAAGAAACCTGCGAAACTGGTCGAAACTTCGTTCAAAAATGAAAACGGCAATGCCAACGTTTCAAAGCCCTGTGCGAAGAAAAACCGGTATCCGGGAGCCGAAAGTTACTTACGTACAGCTGGTGATAATGCGTGAACTTACGCGGCAATGGCTGCTGTTAACCAAAACGGCAGGTCCGGAAATAGCGTTAACGTGAAGAAATTTAAAACAATAAAAGGTCGCGAACGCAGATAAAGGTAGTGCCGAATGGTAGTGTACGAAATAAAAGATAAGGAAAGGCAGTGTACGGAATGGTTACATAGTTCATATACGTATGCACTGTAATATACAGTACTTTCTCTAAGGTTCTTCTATCCAGAAATTTATAATACAAATTTATAATACAAGTAATATAGAAGTGCAGTACTTTACGCATATATAATACATCCCGTCTCGCCGCGCACTTTAACCTATTAACGCCGGGTACCAGAAGGAGTGGAATAGCCATCTGAAAATTAGTATTCATCGACCAAAAAATGTCAATTACGAAAGTCACTGTTTGTATAATTTTTCTGACCATAGGTCAAGCTGGATACCATGATGCCGAAATGACACGCATCGGAACTGAGCCATTTGGCACTGTATAGTTTTTCCAAATAGTAATTCATAAAAATCGCATAAATTCATAAAAAAATATACTGGAATTGGACACTGGATACTTCACTTTAAGTTTCTGTGTCGTTGTTCTGTAGCGCTCTGTAAGATTCAGCACTACACCATTGTTTGGTTCACTTTTACAGAACTTCCGGCACTTTTACAGAAGTTACAGAACGTATGTAAAGTCTGCGGCGAGAGGGGCTAATGTCGGCATTTCTATGTCGGCTTTTCCCGCATAAGAACTGGGGTAGATTGGCGATAGATCGAGTTTTCCTTTGAATCTTCTTTAGTTCTTTCAAGCAGCAAAATGCTACCGCTCAAAAGTAAAGATAACTGGACAGTTAAAACAGAACGCCTGCGCCAGCTTTTCTAACTAAGTATACATAATATATCGTTCGTAGATGTTAGGTATAAATGAATCCAATAAAGTGTCTGATATTATGCAGTCTTCTGATAGTCACTATTATGGATATTAGAGTCAGTAAAGGAAAAATTGCGCAGTGCATCGACATCCCTGTGTTACGAGTACATTACATAAGTACTATACGTACACTATATCTATAATTACTATCTCCTTATATGTACTGTATCCTTTTATGTACTTCTGTTACACTTACTTTAGTTCCACCTACAATGTTCTATTTATACAGTTTCTTACCAGCAGCTCGGTATAAAACCGGCTTGCTACTGTATCTTTCTTTAGCTTTACATCAGGCTCAACTAGCTAATAACATCTGGCTTATTTCTATCAATAAAGCTACTTTACATCCGCGTATTCCACCTTAGAAAAAGCACGTAACAACTTGGTGGCTCCAGGTTTTGTTGGTTATTTTGCCTAACTAACACGAGTGCCCATGACCTTTATTTTTCCACCTATATTAATTAATTCATTTTATGCCCCTGACCTTTCCTAAAGTTCTATACTGTGAAGAGCTGTTATTTCGTTTATCAGTGTATCCCTATGACCTTTATTTCACCGATGAGTTTATCGATACCAGGGAGGAGAAAGGATCACATATTGCGTAAATCCGGCATTCTTTGTATAATTTCAGCGTATGCTTGTGCTGTATGCCGCCACCCAGGATGATTCTAATATACTGCGTGCAACCGTGTCCTTGGTAAATATCGCAAGGGTTTTTAATGCTGGGAAATTCTGTCTAACAAAATCTCTTTAAAAAAAAAAATATTAGCAGCATTATTATGTTCTTCACCTTTGTTCAAAAAGAAATTACTGCTGCCTAAATATGGCAAATCATTATTCGCTATCTTTCCTTTACTTTCTTTGCGTTATCTGCAGCACTAAAATAATTTATTCGAACCTCGTTACATCGTCCGTAAATTACATTTTGTATTACGGAATTCTGTGCACCGTGTTTATCTTATTTTATTAACATCTGCAATTTTTCGATAATTAATTAAACCGTTGAGCAGCTACTATAATTCATTCGATTTATTCCTAATTTCTGTTAATGCGCAACATCAATATTCCGCAAGGAGGGAAGAGGCAGCATGAGAAGCGAGTAAACACTCGTAAATACCATATCTGCCGTCTTTAATTGGAATTTACGAGACCAAATTAATTAACATTATTATTATCGCTTCGAATATGATTATCGATCGTCGAGTTCTTTGATATCGTTTTCCTTACGTTCTTTCCAAGTACTGTTGAAGTGATCTGTATTTCTTCCATTTCTTATTATCTGTTTTTTGTCAGCACAGCATGCATAATTTACTTTAAATTTTATTACAGTAATAGTACAGCATTGTCTCTGTACTTAAGAGGCAGATATGCCGCATACGTTTTTCTATACGAAAAATTATTTATAAATATTTTCCTTATGTCTTTAGCAATTGCTATCCCAAGCAGCTATCGGTCTCCTATACCGCACTGCAGTTTATTTACTTATTATTGTCAATAAAAATATTTCTTACCGGTACCGAGCCAACCGCATATTGCATTTGAAACGTTCCTCTATAAATTCTGCGCATCAGTACGACGTCTTTTAAAATTTACTATACTATACTGGCCAAAGCGGTGCTGACTGATTGAAGTTTGTAATCCGTCGACGAAGATGAATATTAAAAACAGATCGCTCTTGAAATTTGAATGCCGTACACTCGCGCAGTCCAAGTGAAGCAGTATCCACTATACGTGAAGGCTGTCAGTCTGTTACTATCTTGCTCTTTATTCCCTTGCGCTCTCTGCTCTTATATGCCGCCGCATCACATCATCTCTGAATTCAGTTTATTTGAGGCCGTCCCTTTATGCTCAGCGCAGTGCGTGGGACCACTGTGCCTGTGTATATGCCTCCTGTAATACTGATCGAAACGCTTTCTTATATGGTAACCGGCATCCTCATTCTCTGAAGCTGTAACGTGCGTTAGAGTCGTACGAAGTTAAGCGATCCTCCTTCTGAAAACATTCTGAAAATATTTCTCTCTTTCCTTTAAAATCAGATTTGATATATATTTATCTGGCCAATCCACAAATTTTGAGAGATTTTAAAGCAATTGCCAACAGTGCACCGTCAGTCAAAGTTGCATTCACTAGTGCACCCTTATACGCGTAAATTATAGCACAATTTCCTGATGCTGCTAGTATTTAAATCTTTTCAAGTCAACAAGTTTGAGCTCGTTTACTTTTTTCCGTTTTGATTTTAGCGCGCATGACAGCACAGTACTGTTATAACCTTTTCAATTTAACATACGAAAGTTTAAATTCGCTCGGTAAATATACCGATAAAATAATATCTGTTTTCATTTTTCGGTTTATTTTCTAACATGCCGCCAGTTAATTTTGATAGCCCGCCTTTGATCTACTGCACTGCTAATTACGAATATATTCATCTAAATCTGTGCATCGAAAGCCGAGACATAACAATTTGTCACGATATCGACACTCTGAACGTCGAACAGTTCAATACCATTTTTAATTGTTGCGAATGTGGTTTTACCAACGCGTCTCGAATGACGACTTATCAGCATGTGTTCATTCACCACGTATTAACGTTAATACTGCCAGCACGACTGGTTCGCCCAATCGCCGCACGTTATTCCCTGAGGCGATCCAAAGAGCAAATGAAAATTTCGCCCGAACTAATCAAGAAAACCAGGATGGAACCTGAACAGTGAGAAACCATGAAACAGAAGCCAAAATTGGACCACCCGTTATACCGGATCAGAACTCTTGCCCTAACCGAAGTCCGCCTACAACGCAATGGACTCCCACGTATTCAGCATTAATTTTTACCTTTCTTTTTATTCTTGATCTTTTATTACTAATTAAAATCGAGGACGATTTTGTTTTAAGGAGGGAATGTTACGAGTACATTACATAAGTACTATACGTACACTATATCTATAATTACTATCTCCTTATATGTACTGTATCCTTTTATGTACTTCTGTTACACTTACTTTAGTTCCACCTACAATGTTCTATTTATACAGTTTCTTACCAGCAGCTCGGTATAAAACCGGCTTGCTACTGTATCTTTCTTTAGCTTTACATCAGGCTCAACTAGCTAATAACATCTGGCTTATTTCTATCAATAAAGCTACTTTACATCCGCGTATTCCACCTTAGAAAAAGCACGTAACACCTGCATGTAATTCACTTTCCCAGTTCTAAATACTTCTCGAAATATTTCTAGCTTGGCTTCGGTCTTTTAGTTCTAGCAAGGAGCGGTGCACTTCCCTAGTTTTATTAAATACTGAACAGCTGGCTGAATGGCTGAAAATCTTGCAGTTAATAGTAGCTAAAGATGCAGTCTGCGAGGTCACTTTGAGTAACTATTAACTGTTTCCCACAAGTTTCCATTAATTCTCCGCTGAAATATCGGCTGAATGGTGTTTTATCATTTATGGGCATCGTGTAAGTGATCCCACGCCATCCATTTTATCACCGTTTAAATACTACCTGTCGTACCAAAAAATTAAAGTTTTCAGTTGGCTAGATCAGCAATATAAAGTTACATTAAAAACATGAAAAAGACAAACAAGAAAAATTACAGAGATTATTGTAATTTTTGTAAACTGATCGATTTTAACCGGAAAGCTTGAAAGCTGTCCGCATTTCTACGTGTTTAAAATATTTTCGTAGCTGGCCTCGGTGGGGTTTTATATTTGAAATATTTTATTGCTGCACGAAGTATATTTTGTAATTTCTTTCGTTCTTCCATACCTTGAACACAACTGGTCGCGCGCTAGCGCGACCGATACTTGTTGTTGAATAAAGTTACCAAGACCTGTAAAACTTTCGCGAACGGACTGTGCGCATAACGTAAACAGGTAATGCAAAAAAAAATCGTAAAACCGGAAACCGCACCAAAAAAGGTTGGGAACGGCAATGTGTTAATGGTAATTTGTTTTCCAAACGGCAAAGGCTTTTAGAGACGGCGTTCTGAAACGGCAAATTGTTGTGCTAACGGCTTTTCCGCCGGCAAAGGCAAAGGTAAAGTTGAAAACGGGAAACTGAAACGGCAAAGGCAAATGGCCGGCAAAGGCGAAGTTGGCCGACCCGTAAGTATGTTGCACTCATTGCGAATTCGTGCTGGAGTCTAGACTCACACTCTCAGTTTTGGAATTGGTATCCCATTATTCACAGACCAGAGCCTTTCCAAAATCCGTTACCCAGTGCTATGGTTGACTGAACTTGGCTGGAAGCACAAGCAAGCAACATCTAAGGTGTCTAACTCGTCTGGAGATTTTTGGCTCAGATCAGAACTGAAGAACCCTTTATACGAGTTGCGTCACTTGCGCGAAGATGGACGCCATCATATCTTACCCATTTCTTGGCCTGACATGCGGCCCATGCGAGATCAACTTCGGAAACACGGTGATGGTTCAACGCGAGAACGGGGAATGGTGGCTTGGATACGTGCAAGACCTCATGTTTGTCAATTTCGATTCTACAATGGCTCCCGCTGCCTGGATCCATTCACGCCACATCCGCGCTCAGCGCTTCTTGAGCGATGACATGGGGTACACAATTGACAAAGCAGTGAGGACGAACGGCAGTTATGCAGTGCAAGTGGCGCTGCGCAACATCGAGAACGGACCGCATGTTTTTCGTCTGGCCCTACTTCTTACACCAACGACTGGATTTGGTTTGTTCTTTGCACAGTTGGAGCACGAGACCACACCGCGGCGTTTGGTGGTTCACCAGTGGCAGATTGCTGTCGCGATTGATCCCGCTTTCGATGCGCCACCGCGCTTCAACCAGACCAGCGGACTATACTATCGTAAATTTACCGTACCCGTCAAGAATGCTCGCTTGATTACGATGCTGGATTGGAAAACTATACGTAAATGCCTGTACAAAGCTGGAGAAACCCCGTCCACAGATCCAGCTGGAGGATTTTCTCCTGGTAACAGTTATGTTGGGCTTCGAGTCCATGTTGCTGTCAATGGGGATGCACTCAGTTTTATGTGCGCCCAGCTCCATCACGATCATGTGAACACACGTGCCGAATGGAATCTGGAAACCTTAACTCAAGCCTGTGCCAAATTCTACCATGTTCCAGATCCGCCAGTGTTGGACGATATCATGGTCGGAATTCCACAGCAAGAGTTAACTGTCAATACGTTGAGCGTTCATATTTTTGTGTTTACCGGAATAGGTTGTATGCTTATAGTTTCTACGAACGAACAGCTAAGGCCTACCCGGTAAGCAGCGCATCGAATTTTGAAATCACATCCATGTTGTACCGTACTTAATTTTGCTGCAGGTAATGACGGATGGATCGGGGATATGGCTCATTCGATTATGGCCGATGTTCTCCTCAGTTTGGACCTGCACACCCAAGCGAAAACGAAATGGTGAAATAACGTTTAGAAAACGGTTCTCCATGTAAAATATGATTATATGCGATAAGATAGCACAAAAGAAACTTTCTGTTCAAGTGTTTTTGTGGCTCGGAGAAGATAAAACTACTTTCATTACAATATTCACCAGTCGTTTACTACTATAATACATGAATGGTCAGGATCTGCACACTGTGGCATCAGCTTTTATCCGACCGCCGCTCCAGCGGACATCTTATCATCGACAGCTCGATACTGCAGCCGAAAAATTTAATCTACTTCATGCTTTCCTGCCACAACTTGTACAAATTCAGCTGGGCCTTGGATATGGCTCTAACCACGGACACCAAGAGCCTCACTTTGCTCGATGACCTCCAGTTCACAAACTTGACCGTGGTGAAAAAAACACTGGTAACGCTACTGACCATCAGGGATATTCAGCTGGACTACATCGTAATCAAAAATGGATTTTCATTTGATGGTGTTACGATCAACCCTGATATGTACTTCTTGCCGGAACCTGTCGGTCAGCATATGGATCGTTTGTGGAAATGTTCCATTTTGACCACACTCAGCACCGTTTGTCGGCATCTGGTTCTGCGGAATTTTACGGTGCGCGATTTTACCCATTACATGAAATCCCGCTTCATGTACAGCGAATTTCCACGGGACAGAGTTCCTTTACACTGTCGCCGGGAAATGCCACTTACGATCCCGTATCTAATATTGCATTCCAGTGATGGTGATGGCGGGATTTTCCGTAAGTTTTTATTGGCGGCGGAGATGAACCATCCTCCGATTGGTGCTACAGTGTACGATAGCGTCCGCTCCATCCATCGACGGTGGGTGGACAATCTGGCGTATCCCAACGAGTGGCGTGCTATTCGACATCTCTTGCAGCTGTAGGTTTGAGGAATCGCTTTACATAATTGCATATGGCTTTCTCAAATTCGAGTTTGTTATAATTTTGTAGGTACTGTGGCTTTCTACTTGATGGCAGTGACCGTGGTTGGGTGGATGTTGATCTGAGGCAGGTGGATGTGTCCACTCTTACGAAGGTAGCGGTTGCGGCCATTCATTTAATTTTCGCTGTGGCATGAGGACTGCGAAATGTCGTCCCACATCTTTATTTTGTTGAGTTCGTTTACGAGCAATGACGTTGTGCATTTTAAAGAGATGTACAAGTATGTACCAAATCTATATTCACGAGTATCTCTTCGTGGCTGCACATATGACTCTATCTCTTCATCATTGTTAACTTTTAAGTACTCGTACATGTAGTTCTTTTGCATTTTCTGTTAATCGGGTGGCCCGGGGTGGGTATTGCCTACTGAGGTATTGTCTTCATATGCACTATGTTTTTTTTTTGTTATGCAGCTTAAGGGTAAACGTGGGCGGTAAACTCATTTTAATAAAAAAACGTTCGATTATTCTCTATCGATACACTAAAACAACTTGTGTCCGAAGGTTGCTCACAAAGTACGAGTTACAAAACCGCTTTAAATGGTTACCTGTACATTAATTTTTGTATCGGCTTTATTACGATACGGTACGGTTAGCTGAATACGAAACGTTGGAAAGTAACCATATTAAGAAGAGATTTCAGTTCTGTACCACAGTGACCACTGTCCACAATATGGAGGGCCCAGTGCTCCAGTTGGTTTTCCCTCAAAATAGTACAATTACCTATCTTTTTGTGCCTGTGCCTTTTTGAAACAACTAGCCGAATAATTAATAAAGCAATGGCGAAGTGCGACTGTGTTTTTTAGTACCAGAGCCGATTGCGCTTTTGGCTGGATGACAATAATAATCAATAATTATCACTTTGCAACGCTTTACCTAATCTGATTGAGATGATCTCCTTCCGCTAAGAAGATGGTAAGATTCTGATGCATGATTCCGGTGGTAAAGTAATTTACAATTACATACCTAATATCGGTGGTAAAATAATTTGTAAGACGATGGGATAGGATCTGGATAGCCTGTCTGTCTGATCATACAAGTATCGTTTGCATTTTCCAGTATCATACTGGTACATACAGCAGTGCAATTTATGTTCAGTTCCGTTTTCTTGGCCGTAAGGTCAACTTTATGAAAATCGTCACAAAGTCATCAAACGTAGAGAACATTTAGTTCCGCATTACAATTGTACACCCGAGGCATTACGAAAGCTCTAAGGCATAAAATCGAACTGGCAGCCTGTACGATGACGTCACGGTGGAGGAGACCGATCTTGCGAACTCCATAGGCTTGCGCGCTCTTTGCGTTCCAGCAGAACGAAATTTCCTTGCGTCTAAATGGGTTTTTTTTGTTTAAAACTGAAAAACATGATGTTTCGTCACCGTCCCCGAAAATTCTAGCGGTAAAAGTTGAGTTAAAAGCAGTTTGGCCTCGCACATGGTGGATCCAAGAGCCAAGGTACTGGTGTGTCTTCAAAGAGTGGTTAAGCTGCAACCATGGCCGTTTTCTTAATGATTAAAGTCCAGGAAACAAAGTCAAGTGAAAACATAAATTTCTGGACTCGTATTTCAGAAAGTGTTCACATACTGATAGTGACAGATAGTCAGCAACTTAGTCGGAAGACTGCAGCCGTCCACAGTAAATCCGCACCACAAGCATAGCCACAAGTGCAGGCTTCTTCCATAGACTTCCATGTTAAATAAAAACACTCATATCGCATCTAATTTGCAGCGGATCCGCGCTAACTTAGTATCAGAAGAAACAACAAATTATTCTCTTTCTTTTGAGGTGTTCCTGGAGACTTATAAACAAAGGTACAAGGAATTCTAGAATTTCAAAGTTGAATGTAAGTCTACGGGCGACACAGTACATCGTCTCCACTATCCTGACACCGTCGCAGTCGATTTTAGGCCTGTAGCTTTCGTAATGCCTCGGTACACCATAAAGAACAGAATATGCTTTCGGTCGAAATGATCGTTCATTGCGCTGTTTCCTGTTTGATTCTGCTGTCTGTTTCAGTGAAACAACCGGATAGGAGAAAAACTTCAGATAAACGGCTTCATGACCAGATTGTGCTATCCTTTGCTTCACTGTAACGACTACTGACGGTGAGTAGTCGTTATTACGCACTCAGTCGTACTGTATAACGCACTTCTATCTGTACACTCTCAGATCTCAAGATCCAGGAATTAATTGTGCAGTGATTTGCGCGATTCAGATGTTCATTGATTTCCCACGGAAACAGATCTTTTTGCAGGTGCACTTGACAAGATATTTGCGAGGCGCCGCATTCTGAGGCGGGGTCATGGGAAGCCTGAAGTCAGAGGCAGCAACATCATCATCAATTTTGATAAAGGGATGTTTTGTTCAGACATGAACACTTACACCTCCATGGACGCAGTAGGATGTTATCCTTTTCGGGGCATAGCGAGCGGCCCATGTGAGATCAATTACGGGAACACGGTGATGGTGCAGCGAGACAACGGGGAATGGTGGCTGGGATACGTCCAGGACATTGATGACGAGCTCATGTTCGTTAATTTCGATTCCACATTGGCTCCCGCCGGCTGGATCCACTCACGCCATGTCCGCGCTCAGCGCTTCTTAAGTGATTATCCGGGGTATACAATGGACAAGGAAGTGGCAGCAAACGGCAGTTGTGCAGTGCAGGTGGCGCTGCGCAACACTGAGAACGAACCACACATCTTTTATTCGGCCAAACTCCTTTCTTCAACGAGTCGATTCCCGGGTATGTTCTGTGTCCAGTTGGACCATGGGAAAACGTCGCAGCTCTTCGTAGTCCATTTATGGCAGATTGCCGTCGCGATTGATCCCGCTTTCGATGCACCACCGCTGTATAATAAAACCAGCGGACTATACTATCGCAAATTCATTGTGCCTTTCATGAATGCTGATAAAATAACAGGGCTGATAAAATGCTGATAAAATACCATATGTAAAAACAGACTCCCCTCTCTATACCGTCACTTCTTTATAATAATAATATTATGCAATAAAATATCTCGACCGCTTCACGCTGCGCTCCGGTCTACCAATGCACGCAATAGTGCATTTTCCTAGTATTGATTGATTCATCAAGATTATTCATTGGCGACGGATCTGGGGCCCGACACGTGTTCCCTTTCGGACAACCATGCCTGACACTGCCAGCGAAGATGATGGCTACGAGCCTTTCCATCGAGAAACTAGCCAAGCTATTCCCTGATGGAACAGCCAAGGATCAATGGTCTTTTACAAAGCTCATCCCTCTGATACGACAGATGATCCCAGCTATAGCTGCCGATCTTGAGCACGTGCAGAGCTACCCTGTTTATCACGAGGACCTGAACGGCTTGATCACCAAATGCGTCCAGGCCCAAGTCTCCCCGCTTATCACTCCGATTGTGGAAGAAAACCAGCGCCTCAAAGCAGAGCTAACTTCCATGAAGGCCCAGATACATGAATTACAGGAAAGTCAGAAAAGATACGACGAGGCCTCCTTAACACAGCAGGCACTCCGGGACGAAGTGGAAGCCCTGAAAACGACCTCTGTCACACAACCCACGAATATCGTCGCAACTGGTGGATTAGTTCCTCAACCCTCCGGGTTTCGATCCACCAAAACGACGCCTGTCGATACACCAGTGAAAGGTTCCCCGGCCAAAGAAGACCAGTCTCGGAGAAGCGTCTACGCTGTACAGAGAAACGACAACGGAAACAACATCTCCTCGAGAAATAACCTTTATTTCGATAGAAATCAAAGGGCAATCACAAAATCTAGCAAGAAAAAGGGCATGAAATCAGAATATGCCAGGAATCGATGTTGACGGTTCCGTAGCTGGCACTCGAATGGCAAACACGTTCAAGCGTGTTTGGAAAACTGGCGAATGGTGAGCCGATCCAATGATGGTGAGGCGAACACGCCACTATCCTGTGCGCTACGCACAGCACTCTGACATGCCACGGGGCGGGATGCCGAGGTCCCTCGAGGCTTACAGGAATGAAAAAAATGAGAAAAATGCATCAAAACGCAACGCTAATTCAGCGTTTTAATAAAAAAATGTGCAATCTCATTCCATCATAGTTAGTGAGAACAAAACGCGGCAAAATGCGGCGTAAAATTAATCAAAACGAGTTAAACTCGTAACAAAATCCGGTAAAATTATTCCGGTTAAATCCAAACTCCACGTGTCAATCCGTGTTAATTTCCCAGTCCCATTCCGGAGATTTATCCTCCAATTATACGCATTGTTGCGTCGATCCACGACATCTTTGCAGCTCAGTGCATCTACGGCGATTCTTATCCGTTTGCAAGCATTCAATGCGCTACGGCAATTCGTTAAACTGTGTAGTGTGCACTATTTGTGCTTCTACGGCGATTCATTTTAGTTTAGGAATTAATTGAAATAAATTCAACTTTAAGCACTCTTTGGGCTTTCTACGGCGGTTAAATATCCGATTTCACTTTGTGTACTACGGCGCTTATTTTGCACTTTGTGTAATACGACGATTATCGTTCATTGCACTTTTACGACGATTGAAGTAATATACTTTTTACGGCAATTTATTACTGTTCATTCAATGCATTTAATGCATCTACGGCAATTTTACCTGCGTTTCTGCGTTTAGTACTTTAAAGGCATCGCCTAATACGGCAGACGTAGTCTTTGCTTCGGCGCTATCGTCGGGAAAATTATTTTGACGGTTTGTGAGACACCTGCTGTGTCCTGAAATAACGATCGTTATGTAATTACGGTATCAAATGCGGGATAGCATCTCCGTTAATTTTTTTAATATGCTGACGCGAGATATCGCATCTCTGCAGTTTTACTTCATTACTTAAGTTATTTCAAACTGGTGCTAATGCGGGGTATCGCGTCTCCAGTGAAACAAGTACAAAAATACTATTTTACTATTTTACGGGGTATCTCAATTACGAGATAATTAATTTTACCAGCGTTAGATAAATGAGTGTAGCCATTGACGCCTTTGCGCACTCGCAATAAAAGTCGTTTTTGAACTGCCGGTTTATTAGCGGCATTGCGCTTACCGGTATTTTCCACTGCATTTACAGTTTCCCATTCGTCTGTATCAATTACAGGGGAATTATCTGCAGAATTATCTGCGGAGGTACGGACCACATCGGTGGCTGGAGTATTAGCGGCAGAATTATCTACCACAGCGCTGATCACCTGCTTATCAGGAATTTCACTTAAATTATTATTTTCCAATAAATCCCTAATTAATAGGGTTTCGTTTTTTCTATCCTCCTCGGTAGTACGGTATGGTTTTATCCGTTCACAATTAACAATGCGAGTTTCCTCCGTTTTATCGGAGTTTATCCGTTTAAGTTCCACCGCATTGGTGTAGGGAAATCCCACAATCTCCCATGGTTCGATTTCGAACCGACGACGAAACGATTCCGTCTCTCCCTTTTTCTTTTCTATTTTAAGGATCACAAGATCCCCTATGTTGAAGGTATCCTCTGATCGACCTTTGTCGAAACGCTCGGCATTCTTCTCAAAATCGTTGCGGATGTGCAACTCGGCTATGTCGTGAGCGCGATTTAAATTATAACGCAGTTCCTCCATATATTCACGTATGGTCGCGTGATCTATCGGTAAATTCGTTTTAGTCTCGGTATCAGCAGGAATAACCTGCTCCCTACCGTACAGCATAAAATATGGCGACAAATTTGTCGTTTTATTCGCTACACGATTTTTCCAGCAATTACAAACGGTAGGACTTTGTCCCAATTACGCTCGCGGCCATCACTGGCATACATTGCGAGTGAATCGGCTATTGTCTGCATTTGTCGTTCGACAAGTCCACGCCCGATCGGGTGATATGCAGCACC